ACAGGTTCCAAAGTTAAATGAAATAAATATAATTTAGATATACAAAGAAATTTTGACCAAGTAGTCTCTCCAAGAAGGTGTCATGGTTACATAAATCTGAGAAAATATATAAGAGTGACTTATATACAACGGACAATATATTTACAGACAAGTAAATATCTGGTCAAATGTGGTGGGGCACACCTTTAATCCCCGCATTTGGGAGGAAGAGGCAGGACTAACTCTGTAAATTTAAGGCCAGCATAGCCAAAATAGTTCCAGGACAGATGGCACTACAGAGACCCTGCCTCAAAATAAATAATCAAAACATCAGAAGACATCAGAGGTAGGTAGCACAGAAGACATAATAACAAAGGCTGTAACTGTTATAATCTGCTGGCCTGATCTGTCACCTAGGAACCCTGTCCCTTTAAGAGACAAGCCCCCTCCCACCCCACCCCCAACCACACTTCTTCTCCAGCCTACTCCCTCTGTCCCTCTTCTGAAAAGGTAACTAAGCCTCTCCCTCCTCCTCTCTTCTCCCCTTCCCTCTCCTCCATAATCCACTAAATAAACTTTATACCCACACTCTGCATGGCGTATATGTCTGTCTCTTAGCCGCCACTGCCTCCCACCTGCCAAGGGGGCCCACCAAGGCCCTGGTGACCTACTGCTGCCCCCAGGGGACTGCTGCCTCTCCTGGGACCGGTCCCCCACCACATGTTTATAAATAATAACAGTAACAACTTTCAAGATGAGTGGAATATTGCTTTGAAAACATAATTGCCAAAGTACCAAGAATCAAATTGATAAATGACAATTTTATTTTTTATGCATAAAGGTTGATGAAAAACCATTACTAGCGCTATTAAAACTCAACATTTCAATTGAAAAGCATGGAAAGCATACTTATTAAATAGCATTTTCTAAAATACAGCTTTAGAACATCTAACATGCTTGCTTAACTTCAGTACAATGGATTCAAGACCAAGTATACATGTTACATGCATCAAGACTAGATTACAAATTATCATAGTCATCATCATCATCATCATCGTCATCATCATCCTCCCGTTTTCTTTTCAGTGCATTTGCTGACTCACTGGCTGTATTCTGAGATACCATATTAGTTGTAATCAGAATGTTTTTGGACCCAATTAGCGATGGATTAATCAGAACATTCTGAACTGTTGATGTTGCGGGAATGGAAGCTTTCACAGCAGGGGACTGGGAAGCAGGCATCTGCACTGTGAACCTTTGTCCTGTGAGGGACATTGGGGTGCCCACTTTAGTTGAGACAGACATGGTTTGTGGAGTTGGTGTGCCTAGTGTGGGAGTACTTGGTCTGCTAGAAACTGAGCCAACACTTAATCGCGGAACTGTGATTCTTCCTGCAGGAGTAGGTGCCTTTTTTTGCAAAGACTTAAGCCTATAGTTTGGAGCAGTTAAACAATATCTATCAGGTGGCAATCTAGGACCTGAGTATGGCTTGATCAATGGCAAAGGGGTTTGATTTCTTTGTCTTGCAATATCTAATAAAAAATCCCTCGGGGGAGGAGAAGTGAAAGACTGGTCGGCCCGGCACTGGATTGCCAATCGCACATCGTCTGCATCAACAGTGGCTTTCTTAGCATGGCTGGAATAGATTTTAGCATCATCTAGAATTGTGGTCACATATCGGAAGGCAAACTCCAACATCTGATTTATAACTCTCGGCTCATATTCTGTAATCCCCATATCCTTCAGGATTTGGGCCATCATCTGTGCATCTTTCGGCATGCTCTTGGGAGACGCCATCTTGCCAGACTCCATGATATCCGGTGATCAGACTTTAGGTCATTTAAAAAAAATATGGAAATTAGATCAAACCGAAATAGTTACTTTAGTAGCAACTGTTAGGAATTTAAAATTTTCAAATGTGTTAAAATTTTCGAAACTATATCTAAAATGTAAAGCATCAATCTCTGTATACCTACTTCCCTCTGCTTAAAAATACAGAGTTCCTTCTCTGAGTGTGGAATATAAAAAGATGACACAAATAATTAAGTAATAAAAGATTAGGGGAAAACAGGGTAAAATCAGTAAAAATACCACTTCAGACTATATGCTGTGAGTCTGGGCAGGCAACTATCAGAGTTAAAGTGACTGATAAATAATAGTAATATCCTTCTTCATATTCAGACTTATCTATCCAACCCCTCACAGAAGCTGTCCCCATAATTACTGTTCACAAACATGGGGTTAGGAAAGGGGAAATGTTCAAAATAACTATGTAACAATACTCAGCATGTAGTCTTTTATTTTCTGTGTCCTTAGCAGAACATAAATTACTTATTACTGGTGTCTTTCTGCTTTCTGGACCTTCTAGCAACGCTTAGCTAATCAGTACTACTACTACCTGACTTAAAAACATAAATCCAACATCAAAGTGTTCTTTACCTTCTTGAGCTAAATCACCCACATTAACGTACTTCAGTCCTGATCTTGAAGCAAGTTCTTTGCCTAGAGTGGTTTTTCCAACCCCGGGTGTACCTGTAAAAGAAGTCACAGAAAACATGGTTCAAATGCTACTTATCAGATGTCAGTCTGCCATGGAGGGTCTTAACTGACACAAAAATTTTCTTAATTAGCAATCATATGTGAATATATACCATGATCTAATAAAAATTCCCCAGAAAGCCTGGTGTGGTGAGCACTCGGGGGCAGAGGCAGACGAATCTCTGTGAGTTCAAACCCAGTCTGGTCTACATCGTGAGTTTCAGGACAGACAAAGAAACAGAGAGAGAAACCTTGTCTCAAAACCAAACCAACTAAACAAGAAATTCTTCAGAAATGACTGGGTGTCAGTCTCTGCATCCTAATTTCCAGGGGTAGGATTTCAGCAATTTTGATGCCAATTCTGCCCGCAACAACATGAAACTTTCCAGCCTAAAACTAGGCACCTCAAATAAACTACCATCATTTATTGCTTTAATGGAAGAAATTTGGGTGGCCGGCGATATCTCATCACTACCACTCGCCCCTAAGTCTGATAACTCCCCCAGAAGGAACTACTATAGACCAGGTCTTTCTTAGCTTTATGTTTGTGATATCTAAAGGACACAATGCCCTGCTTGGTATGCATTTAAATAAGTGCACACACACACACACACACACACACACACACACACTGTATATATCCACACATGCAGCATTGATATCCTATACATTGTCCTTTGCTTTTCTCCTTTTATTGTTAACACAATTATAAAACAATCAAAACATAATTTCAGCTGTTCAAACTTAAGTAATCCTGATAAACCATGCCTCTAAAATGTATTTAGAAAAATATTTTCACTGTGGTACAGCAATCTGAAGCCTTGACTCAACTTGTGTGAACTCTGAACTCAACATGGTTATTTTATTTTAGTCTGACTTCTTAAGGTGTAGCTCTTGTTTTGACAGGCAGCTGTGCATTCCAGGCTAGCCTTTCCGATCTTCCTTAGTACTAGGATAACAAACCATTATGCCATCCAGTTTATGTAGTTGTGGGGATCCAACTCAGGGCTTCATGCCAGCATCGCCAGGGTCTCAAATTGTAGCCTACTAGCTTCAATGCCTCATAGGAACTCCAAGATCCTGTCTGTCCACGTAAATCAGATATTGTAAAATGTTCCTCCTAAGGACTCTTTTCTTTTTTGGTTCTTCGAGACAGGGTTTCGCTGTAGCTTTGGAGCCTGTCCTGGAACTAGCTCTGGCTTCGAACACAGAGATCCACCACTTTCCTCTGCCTCCCGAGTGCTGGGATTAAAGGTGTGCAACACCACCGCCCGGCCCTCCTAAGGACTCTTAAAGGCTAAAATTTGCTTATGAGTCATTAACTGACAAATCCACAAACAGGATCTTAATAAAATTTTTTTTGTATAAAGAAATAGCATCTACGCCCATTTAATTTTTGTACGACTGGCTTATGATGGTATTAGACGCTATAACTTAATGTTTCCAGTAAAAGCTTCGAAGATCCAGAAGGGCCCCACCCACGATCAGCTCCAGATCTAATATTCCACGGCACCAACGGCCACACAGGCTCAGCTTTCACACCGAAACGACAAAGCCTGTGACACCAACCGACCGAAACCGTTAATCGGTCACGTCTCTTCACGAACATCCAAAGCATTTACCGAAATCTTAGGAATTTTAGGAAGTGTTTCCCGGAAGCAAAGGGAAAAAGAAAAAAAAAATCACGACCAGGAAGGCCCAAGGACCGAGGCACCTAACATCACCCCATCTCCTATCAGCTAGAAACCGCCTTTACCGCACTTGGTGGGAGAAACCCCGAGCCCAACCCCGACAAAGGACCCGCAGCCCTGCCCGCTCTCCGGGCGAAATACCAGATTCACAAAGACCAAGCCTCGGGCGGGGCAGCAAAGCGGGACCGGCCGCCGCTCTCCTTCCTCGCCGCGCCGCGTCCGGCCACCCGGATTACCGCCCCCTCCCCCTAACGGCCGCGCACGCTGGGTCCTCACGCG